GCAAATGAACAGGAGTGCCCCTACCTTCCACAGGGACCACACAGGAAAGCAGGTAGAGGGAGGGCGCAGTCACATAGGCAGCTTTGGCAGGGTGCCCCACTCCTCAGCTATAGACCAGCCAGAATTCGTTAAACTTCATAAATTTCATCACAGATCTTCAACAGCCCCATGGCACATTGGGCAAATATTCTCACAGATGAGAGATTAAAGCAGAGCACAGCAGTCAAGTTGCCCCAACATGAGAAAGTAAGGGGACAGGAACGCAGGTCCCACTCCCCTGGGTCAGGGCTCCTATCTACTGGGTGGCAAAGAACCAGGCACACATGGGCACTTCCCTGGTCAGGCACCATGCTGTGGCTTCACCAGACCTAGGTTCTAACAGAGTTATTGTCTGCTGCAAAGCTTTAATTCAACATGTTAGCTTTAACAACAGGAAAGCATAAATTCTAACCAGCAAAATATCCCCTTCACTAACAATGTTACTGTACAAAATTCTGATTTTTTTTTTCAGATTTAAAAAAATGTAATCACATCATTAAATATTATTACAGCATAATATTAGAAACAAACCCAAATGCAAACATGACAATCAATTTCTCGCAAAACATGTTTATTCAGATGTATCATTTCTATATCTTTACAGGGTATATCATAGCAATTCAATATATGTGTACAAGTTTCATCATGCAACACTGAATCTCCCCCGCCCAGGAGGTCACTATGGTGTAATCTCCCTTTAGTTTTTTGTGATTAATATTTTTGGATAGAATTCATACTGTGGCAGAGTCAGAGAGACTGTCTCTGAGTGTCCTTCAAGAATGGGGACATTCTAGCATTTCAAGCAGGTATTGACAGAGGACAGAGGAGGCTGGACACTTGAGAAATGTGCAGGAACAAGGTTTATTTAAGCTGGTGTAATCCAGAGGAGCTAAGGCCAAAAAATCCCTGGACCCCAGGTATGGAAGTTCTCTGGGATTTCTATTCAGTGAGTGGTTATACAATACAATGGTTAATGTAATAGTTACTTTTTCTTCTATGTTCTTAGATTGGACAGAGGTTTCACAAGATTTTACTAAGAAAAGAGAAAGAGTAACTTTTGTACATCAACAAGTTTGATTGCTGACATAACTTTTTTTTTTTAGTTGTAGAAGGGCACAATACCTTATTTTATTTTTATGTGGTGTAAGAATCAAACCCAGTGCCTCACACCTGCTAGGTAAGTGTTCTACCACTGAGCCACAACCCCAGCCCTGCAGACCTAACTTTTACAAGAAAGAGAAACCTGACCTTTACAATAAAGAGAAGCTAAACCACAATGAGCTCTCTAGAAATCCTGTTGACTTAAAAAAAAAAAAATCTTGTTTACTAGGAGAAAGGCTTATATATTACAATTAAGGTGGGGATCTTTTGGACACTACATCATTTGGAGTATGTGATACATCATTACCCCCTCTGATGCTCATTATTTAACCCTTTAATGCTCATTATTTAACCATTTAAATCAAAAAACATCAGCTTAAAATTTTATATAATGCCATAATCTTAATTTCTCCCTCTGTGTTTCCCTCCCCCACCTCTCTCTTTCTCTCTCTCTCTCTCCTCTCTCTCTAACAGCTGCTTCTATAGTTGCCCAATAGTTTCATTGTAAAGGGGAGACAAACATGAAAGCAATAAATAATAGCATAATCCATACTATTTCAATTAAACTTTTGAATCCACCAAGAATAGAAAAACCATCCTCCAAATACTGAGCTTGGTTCCCAAGCCTTAATGCCCTTTCAAGTTTGAACTAGTACATGTGCTAGCTGTTTTTTTTTTCAATTTAATTAATAAGTTTAAATTTTAT